AATGGGGAAGAAAGGGAAGTGGCAGCGATAACTGTTTGGGGCCAGGTGCTTTTGCTAGACCCTTGATCTACAATACCTTTGAGGTTTTGACATCATTAATGCCCCCATTTTATACACAGTTCAGGAGATGAAGGCTCAGAGAGGATAAGTAACATACCCCAAACATACAGAAAAAGGGGGAATGTGAATCTTGTGTCCACACAAATGTGTAGCATCTTCCCCTGGACCTGGGCTTCTCAACATCTGCACCCATGTTAGCAACATCTGGAGACACTGTAAGGACGTTGAAGGCTGGGCTGTATCTTCAGAGATGCTGAATCATTGGGTCTGGAGTGTGGTCCAACCAGATGAATGGAATGTATAGCCAGTGGGGAAGCCCAGCCAGACCAGGCTGCTCTCAGACTGAGCTCTGCAGTACTGGGACATGGTCTCGGCTGAGACCAGACAATATCACACTCAGCTGCAGTGCCACCCCCTTTCCTTACTCTACCCAGAGAGAAATGGCTGGTTCTTTCTTTAAGCGGCATGAGTAGGATGAGTTCATGAACTCGGCACCCAACAGTCACAGCAACTTGAACATGAATTTTAGGCAGTGACATTGCACTGAGATGCACAAATATAGGGAAACCCTAAAATCAAATCCAGGCATCATTTCTCCCTCTTGCCAGGAAGTTGAGCTGCAGTTTGTTTTTTTACTGTTGCTCATAGTTCTTGAGTAGAGTTTTTGGTTTCCTACATTTATTGTTTAAATGGGTACATGAAACATTTTATGCTTACTTCTCCAAAAGAAAAATATCATAAATTAAGCTGCTCTTTACACATAGATCTTTGGAGGGGAGGAGGCTCAGGGGCCTTCATTAAAAACAAAACAAAAAATCCTTTCCCATCTCAGCAGAAGAAGGGCCCATGATGGGCAGCGGGAATTCACATGATTGACAAGCTCTTGGCTACCCTAATTCCAGTTGTCACTGATGGCCCTGGCAGTCTCTCTTTGACTATAAACCACCTCCACTTCCTGGGTTGGTTTATTTTAGACAGCATACCAAAGCAGAATGCACTGCTACACTATCCCACCAATCTAAACCCAGCAAGAAGCTAGCTTTGTTGAACCAAACGTAGAACTGGCAAGGGAGAGTTAGGCATACACTAAGATTAAAGATTAACTAGAACATCTGGCTGGGGAATTGACCTTCGATTAAACATTAATGCTGGTGCAGCAGCCCCTTCCACCCACCCACTGACCTGTTCCCCACATGCCCCACCCCCTCCTGGCATCCAAAGGGATACCAGGCCCTCAGAGAGGGAAAACGCAAAGGGAGAAAGAAGTGGCACCAGAAGGGAAGGAGATATCTGTAAAGGAAGGAAGCTTCAGGAGAGCATGAAAGAAAGGAAAAGCGGTGCCAAGAAGCAATTGCCTTGAACACAGAGGAGCGTCCGTTCACTGTCAATATCATCTCTCGCTGCATCCCGTGATGGATATACTATTTGGCAGAGATAAGAAAGAACAACGAGAGCCTGTGAGAGCCAAAGTGACAGGTGGGCATTCTGTATAAATGATTGGCTCTTCTTTTATGTTTAAATGCATGCTTTTCTCTGCTTATAAAAGTAATACTTGTAGATTATCTGTGGAAAATCTAGAAAACAGTACACGGGAGAAGATGACCCGTAGTCCAGACACATTCCCTGTGAAAATCGAGNAGGAATGTTGTTCTTTAACCTTTTATTCCCCAGCAGAAGCAAAGCAGGTGTACAGAAGCAAAAAGAGCTGTTAGTTCCTGTGAAATGGTCTAAGCCAGTTGTGACAAAACTATTTCTGCAAAACATTCTTAATATTTCTGTTGCAACCCATTTCTTGTAAAGTTAGGCGTTTTATTGTCCTAACGGGAAGTTCTGCTTAGAGTCTAGCTGGAGTAGCTGAAGTATGATTTTTAAAAGTGAGTCTGTCCGGCTGAGTCTGTCCAACCTAGGGTCTGGGCCGAGATCCTTACATAAAGGCACATCTTCAGGGTTACTGCAGATATTGTTACTTTCAGCCAAAGCATCTTCTGTTAACTTGTTGAGCCTTCATGATATTGTTAAGGGCTGAATTGTGTCCCAACATTCATATGTTGAAGCACTCAGAATGTGACTGTATTTGGAGATAGCACTTTTTAAAAGGTGATTAAGCTAAAATGAGTTCATTAGGGTGGGCCCTAATCCATTCTGACTGGTGTCCTTATAAGAAAAGAAAAATTGGACATACAAAGATACATCAGGGATGCACGCCTCCAGAGGGAAGACCATGTGAGGAACCAATGAGATGGCCATCTGCACTCCAAGGAGAGAGGCCTCAGAAGAAACTAACTCTGCCGACACCTTGATCTTGGTCTCCCCAGCCTCCAAAACTGTAAGTAAATAAATTTCTGTTGTTTAAGCCACCCAGTCTGTGGTACTTTGCTATGGTAGCCCTTAAAACTAATACAGATATTGATCGTTACGATTAATTTATTATCACCATTATCAAAAAAATCCTTATCTCACCATATAATTGTCCTAGGGTGCCATTGGGACCTAAATGAAGAGGGCTTACCTTGGAGCCTCAGTATTATATAACAAGGCAATGATATCAACCCAAGACTTGTTCTCTCAGAGTCCTCCACCCATCAACAACAGCCACCTGTTACTTTATTCAGTAAACACCTAG